TGTGGTTTTTCAGACTTCTCCATTTCAGTCTTGTTTTCGATCAAAGAAAGGTTTTCTCAAGCGATCTGGGAGGTGAATTTGAATTATATCCAAGAAAGAGTTTTCCATTGTAATGCGCAGTGACTGATACACCTCGCTGCATTCAACAGGCGCCTAGATGTTTTCTTTTTTTTCTTTTCTACCTTGAGGCGATGTTTTCCTGGCAACAGGGCTTTGAGAATTCATCCCTGTCCTTGTCCTCAACCGAGCGCGCTTGAAAAAGGAGTGTGACGAATTAAAAAAAACACCCCGAATATGAGAACTTCATCAGGGAGCAGATGGATACAGAAGATACTGGGGAAGTTGCATGCAAAGATGAATTGTTATCCGCAGAGACAACAAACAAACTGGAAGAGAGTGAAGTCAAAATGGGCAGAACTATGAAGGAAGATTTTGAGACCACAGGTAAGTCAGATAAACATTTGAAACGGCTAATTTTACCAATTGCATGGACTTTATGTAAGTTCTTAGCAGTGCAAAGAGAAGAAAAAACAATAAGCCCTAAAGGATTCTAATGCATAACTAACCAAACAATATGAAACTAGTTGTCTGATGAATTTATTACAAGGAAGTGTTTCAAATATCCTTGCTTTGGTTGTTGGAGCAGCACTTTTTTATCTTTCAATTCCTCAATTCCTGTTTTCCATTTTCCAAATGCATTCAGTGATGTTTGTTTTGACTGATGCATGCTGCTTTTTTTTGGCAGAGAATGTAAATCACGAATCAAGATGCCTATTCGGCAGACCTGATGTTGCCATGCATTCACCAGAGCCTGGACCCTTCACACGCAGTTCAAAACGGCACCAAACTGGTGCATTCAGTGAGGAACTGAGTCCGTGCAAGAGAGGAAAAACAGACCCAGAGAGCTCTTTGACATCTGATTTTAATGTGGAAGTTGCATCCAGGGAACATGCAACAGCGAACCCACGAGCTTCAGTGTTGCCTGAGCCTATGAGTAGCTTTCAGGGGACTTGCAAACCCATCCAGGTATTGCTGGCTAAGAGTGTTGGAAACAAAGTGACCTTAATAAGTCATAACAAGACAGCATCTGTAACTCTGCCACCTGTCCGAGTATCCTGTCCACCTACGCCACACTCTGAACCTGTCTTTGTCTCAGAAACACTTACAACAAGTACGACATCCACAACCGAAAGCACTGGACAGGTGGTGTATAAGACGGCAGGAGGCGTGGGGCTTCTCAGGAAAGGAAGTACTTCTGTAAAGTTTTCAGTGCAACCAATATCGGATCAAAAATCAGGGGAGAAGGTGATGCAACAAGTCGTTATCCTGCCTTCAAATCTACTGATTCAAAGCACTGGGAATAAGGCAGCCCAGACCTCTGCATCTGTCCCTAAGACGACAACGTACTTGTCCAATGTTTCAGGGTTCACCATACCGGAAAACAAGGTTCCTGTCCAGCCGGTGGCACCTTTGAAAGATACCAGCGCTGTAAGAACACCATCTGCTCTAGTTACTCCCAGTTTAAGGACCTTAACGACTGTTGGTGTGCCTAAAAAGACTACTGAACCAAAGATGGCCCTCAATAGATCAGCCAGCAGTGGGCCGACCAAACCTGACTCTAAACAGGAGCTCAGGACAGTGTGCATTAGAGACTCGCAGTCCATCCTTGTCACTACGAGAGGAGGCAACACAGGAGTGGTGAAGGTTCAGAAGTCGGAGAGTGGAACGGTGGCTTTGCCACCCAGCCCGGTTTTTACAATCTCGCCACAACTTCAAGCCTTTCTGGTGTCAAAGTCTTCCACGTCCACTACACAAGCTGTTTTGGCCACCTTCGCTGCTAAAGCTTTACCTGGAGTCACTCCTCAGTCGCTCTCGAACGATGTTGTTCCAGTCAGCTCGTCTACTTTTATGGCAGGAACTGTCGCTCCTTTAACCTTGAATCAGATTTCCAATAACGGTACTACAGCCAAAACAACAATCCCTGGTAAATCTGCACTGCTAGCCACAAGCAAAGGCAACGATAGTGTCCTTATAACTGCAAAAGATGTCCAAGGCGCTCAGCAGAATACGGTCTCTAAATGTGGAATGAAGCCCCCACAAAAATGGGCTTTACCAGAAAGCACAACTCCAGACCAATCGACTTTCCAAAAGGTTTTCCTGGTCACACCTTCATCAAATATCCCTTCAAAGGTCACCACTACTACAGCAACCTGTACCGTGCCAGGATCACGGGTCATGTACATAAGCAACTCAGCACTTACCATTCCAAAAGAGGCATCATTTTCAGAGGTTAACATTTCCTCTACTAGTACACCAGCGTTGAAGGTCATTCCCAAGTTGGGGACGACCTTATCCTGCACTTCTTCTGGTACAAGCATCCAGAGCATCGGTGTCCCAGGGTTAACATCAAGAATACTTGGTACAAACAGGAATATGCCATCAGCGACCAACGCCTCTATGAAAACTACACCTGTGATCGTCTCCAGAGTACCTGCAACGTCAACCTCAGGTGGACTCCAGATTGGTCCAAAAAGCTGTTTGGTTGCAAGCAGAAGTCTGTTAGGGAATACTGATGAAAGTGCTCCAAAAGTATCTGGGACTGTTGATGGCAAAACACTCACATTTTCAACTCTAGGCACCAGCCACATGGCTTCCTCTGCACTTTTGTCAGTTGTAAAACCGGATGTACCTCCATCAGTTTCAACATTAAATTCTCTTCACTGTAAATCAGGGTTATCGACTGGCAGCTCTACTTCAAATACATCTTCCTCTTATTTGGGAAGCCTGATTACCAAACACACTATGTTACCAGTTGATGTGGCAGCTAACAAGCAAGTGACCACATCCCTTTACACTTCATGCTCACCGATTAAAACGACCCTAAGTCCTGCTTGTCCTGGAGGACTGCAAGGTCCAGGTCCTGCTGGTCCTCAAAAATCGCAAGGGACAAGTCCTGCTGGTCCTCGAGGATTGCAAGGTCCAAGTCCTGCTTGTCCTGGAGGATTGCAAGTCCTAAGTCCTGCTTGTCCTGGAGGACTGCAAGGGCCAAGCCCTGCTGGTCCTCAAAAATGGCAAGGGTCAAGTCCTGCTGGTCCTCGAGGATCGCAAGGTCCAAGTCCTGCTTGTCCTGGAGGATTGCAAATCCTAGGTCCTGCTGGTCCTAGAGGACTGCAAGGTCCAGGTCCTGCTGGTCCTCGAGGATTGCAAGGACCAAGTCCTGCTTCCACTGTTCCTAGAGGTCCAAACAGTTCAGCTACCTACACCGTTCCTTCAATTGTGCATTCAATTGTGCAAGGTGTGAGATTGGTAACACCAGTCAGGCTACCCTCTCCAAAAGTTGTACCTTCTGATCAAGTCCATCAGCAACTGAGCACCAGAACTCCACTGAACGTGTCTGGCCCTACTGCTCTCTCACAAGTGGCACAAACTCTGCGTCCTGGTGTATCTTCAGACATTGTGAGACTTCCTATCTTTCAAACCTCGAACGTCTCAGTTACAGCATCACAAGGTATGACCGGGTATCCCAAAGAAACCTCTTTTCCTCAAGAAGGTTTAATAAGCACAACGTCTCCAATGCTCTTGCAAGGAAGACCATCCCAAAACCAAGTGGTGCCAGTCATAGCACCAGTGAAAGCTGCGATTCCAAGGCATTCGCCAATGGTAACCGTACCACCCATGAGCAGCACGATATCTCGGATGCAGAAACTTCCAGTTGCAACGGTTCCACCAATCGGTGGTCCAACCAACGTCAGTCCAGCCACTCCTATTGCAACCGTTCCTCCGTCTATGAGCACGGTCATAATGACACATTGTCCACCTATCAGAGCCGTGCAACCTGGGACAATCGGAAAGCCTGTTATTTTACCCCAGCCACCACAAGGTCAAAGCACGGTTCCTGTACAAGTTCCCACTCCTAGTAAACTGTTGTTGAGCCCAGATAGTGCCGTCTTAAATATCGTTCAAGCCTCAGCCTCAAGTGTGCAAGTGGTAGCTAAGCCAATGTCCGCTCAAGTGGTTAGTTCCTCCTCAAGTAGCTTTACTGTACCTATTTTAAACACAAGTGATCCACTGAGAAAACCAGATACACTGGGGAGACCTGATCACTGAAATGGTTCTGGAGGTCATCTGTTTTCCCGTCGTGATCACAGCGGACAGTCTGTTCAGTGTTTTGGGTCTTGTTGAGTACAAGTGGGCTTCCTTTTGGTTCCATTTCTCCCCATGTTGAGAAGCTGAATACTAAATATCTATATTAATATTTTGCGCATTTTGCTCTTTACAATACATATTTAGGAGAAATTGGTTACCCTTGGAGTTGCACATGAAATTGGTTACCCTTGGAGTTGCACATGAAATTGGTTTCGCAAAGAGAAATTTGGAGATTTCAAATGGCCAGTAATGTACATAACGGTATTTGTTTGGCTGACTCTTTTCTACTCCATTTGTATGCAAAGGTTTGAATGTTTTGTAGTATTTTCCATTAAAATTATCCTGTAGAACAGTCTTCAGTCTATTTAAGAGTATGTCTGGCTGATCTCAAGCCTGCGTTAGTACATTCAGGCATTTAGAGTATTATCAGACATTATCTGATAACAGTTTGGTTTTGTGTTTCCTCTATATTCATGAAAATAAACATTTATGACTGAAGTAAAACACTGGTGTACCGTGCCTATTCTTTGAGTTTATTAAACGTATTAAATCAGAGATTCCCAAACATTTTTGTCAGCTAAACCCATTTGACCTCAAATATTTTCTTGAAGTCCCCCTTAGTTTTTATGATATAGTTTAAAATTTTTCCAGTATATAAAATCTAAAAATATTTTAATGTTTTTAGGAAATGCTTTATTTTGATTTAGCATTTTTTTAATGTATATTTTATTTATGCAATTATTAGCCCCTGCAGTTCCTTCATGAACCCCAATTTCGGAAACCCTGTATTACAGAACAAAATATTACAAATGCATTTTTCACTTGAAAGGGGTAATGAAACTAAATGCAGTATTTTAAACAGTTTTATTCTGTTGTATTGAACGGTTTGCACAAAACAGCTCCTGACACTGCAGTGATGCCCTTCACTGCATAAGAAGCTCAGTATCTCTTCATAGAAACTTAGTTTGCCTCGTATATGTGAGTCAGAGATTTCCCAAGTCCGGTGTCTGGAGCTCAGCGAATATGTAAATAAATGTTTCATTACAGGTGTTCACTTTTACAGTCAAGACATTTGGTAAAGAAATACAGACATATGTTTGATAAAGATTAATTATTAAAAGTAAATTAGAAATGTACAGAAATAAACTGCGAAATCTTTATGCTTCTATCTGACGACATTTAAAACAGTATAAATCTAAAACTGAGAACATCTTACCAGATTTAGGTGCAAATGACCTTTTCTTTTTAAATACCTTGAACTAAAATGAACTAAACACTCTATTGGATTAAATGAATATTAAACTTTATTAGCCTCATGTCTGATGAATGACGTTGTGTTTAAAAGGCACTGTAGTGTCAGATGTTAATAGTCCACATGCTTTGGTAAGATTCCTGTATACCAGAAAAAGGCCAGCGTTGGTGCTGGAGAGCCACAGTCCTGCAGAGTTCGGCTCCAAACCTAATCAAACACACCTGAAGAAGCTAATCACGGTCCAAGGGTTAATAGAAAGCTACAGGCAGGTGAGATTTAATCAAGGTTGGAGCTAAACTCTGCAGGACTGTGGCTCTCCAGGACTGCCATACACCATCGCTGTGTGACCGCTCATCCCACAAACACTACAGGAATCCTCAGATTTTCCTTAGTTTGTGTCTCATGGTGAGTAAGGAGGAGGTGAAGGTCCAGAGGCGATCTTATCATAGGCCGGAGGAGCGTTTGGAATCTGGAAGAGAGGAGAAACACTGCTTTAAACCACATCTAATGTGAGTAAACAAAAGTGATAATTTGATGGCTTCTGTTCAGTTTTTAATTCTACAGGCTGGTGGTACTAATAGTTTTGCAGTATTTCAGAATGAAAGACTTTCATGAATTGAAAGGCTGAGATATTTCTGAACCTTTGGTTTGTTCGATGAGAACAGCAGCTCAACACACACGCACACACTCTCTCACACACACTCACACACTCTCTCACACACACACACACACGCACACACTCTCACACACACACACACACACACACGCTCTCTCACACACACACATGCACACTCTCAGCCGCA